TCCGAGCCCACGCGCGCTACTGCGCCGACGCCCACGGCCAGCTGGACCTCGAGCGCGCGCCCGCGCTGGGCGGCAGCTTCACGGGCCTCGAGCCCATGGGGCTCCTCTGGGCTTTAGAGCCCGAGAAGCCCTTGCTGCGGCTGGTGAAGCGGGACGTGCAGACGCCCTTCGCCGTGGAGCTGGAGGTGCTCGATGGCCACGACCCGGAGGCCGGAGGGCTCCTGGGCCGGGCGGTGCACGAACGCGACTTCCTGGCGCCGGGGGTGCGGCGCGAGCCCGTGCGCGTGGGCCGGGTGCGCGCCACCCTCTTCCTGCCGCCAGGTGAGCAGCCCACTTCCCAGGCTGTTGTGGAAAGCCAGGTAGAGTCCTGAGACCCTGGGCGGCCCCTTGCCTGGCTAGGGAACCCCGTGGTTGTGGAACTTCCCAAAATTCGTCCCCAAGCTCCAAAGTCTATCATGAATTCTGGGTGGAAGTTTCTCCTCTAAATTTCAGGACACTTCCTGGAGGTACTGCCATTCCCTTAGCTATATGCTAAAAGTTCATTCAGAGTACTCAAAAAGTGTATTTATGCTGCTATGTGCCAGCCATGCAGCTGTGTCTCAGATACTAATATTAGGCAGTGACTTCTGCTGGTGTGCAGGAGTGATTTTGGCCTTCTTTCACATCAAACTTCAAAGGAAACTAAAACCCAGAGATAGAGGCAGTGCCCCATAATACTAAAAAACAAAAAACTCCCTGAAGGTCCCCTCCTCCATAATAAACAGTCTGTCAGTGTTTCTCAACCTGGGATGATTCTCTCCCACTCCAGGGGCATTTGGTAATATCTGGAGACATTTTTGATTGTCACAATCGGAGAGGGTGCTATTGGCATCTTGTGGGTAGGTGCTAAACATCCACAATCCACGGGACAGCCCCACAAAGAAATATCTTACTCAAAGTGTCTATAGTGCTAAGGTTGAGAAACCCTAGTCTAAGTAATAACAAGGTGCTTGGTAAAGTGGCCTGTAAACAAGACAACTGACCCACCCCTTCCAACCAAATTCCTGACTGAAACCCCTGCTATATAGAAATGCTGGAGTTGCCACTGCTCACAGAATTCCTAAACTGAATTCTGTGATTATTCTCCAAAACAGGAGGCCCTGCTTTATTCTTACAGCTCTTCAGCAATTCACAGCCTTAACTAGCACTGCCCATTCAACTGTGAACTCCTGGGTCTGGAATTGGGACTTATACGTCTCCATATCTCTGTATGCCTAGAGGCTTACACAGGGATATAATAAGAGCTCAATAAATCATACTGACTGATTCAATAAGAATCTCCTAAAGACTTTAATTTTTTAAAAAATATTTCAAAAAAAAATCTTTCACTGCCCGGTTGCGATATTTTAATCGAGTCAGTTGTTAACTATTTTAGTATCTACTCTGCGGCCCATTTAAAATTTATTGGGGCTTCCCTGGTGGCGCAGTGGTTGAGAGTCCACCTGCCGATGCAGGGGACACGGGTTCGTGCCCCGGTCCGGGAAGATCCCACATGCCACGGAATGGCTGGGCCCATGAGCCATGGCCGCTGAGCCTGCGCGTCCGAAGCCTGTGCTCTGCAACGGGAGAGGCCACAGCAGTGAGAGGCCCGCGTGCTGCCAAAAAAATAAAAAAATAATAAAATTTATTGTTTTCTGACTCAAAGGCTTTTTGTAAATGATGCAGAAAAGTTCAGTTATTTAACAAATATGTGTTAAATCAAGGACTATGCTACCTACAGTAGCTAGCAAATTCAGACATGGGCCTCACTGTACCTACCGCCTAATAGAGGATACCGGCAACTATACTTGGATGTGTAAGTGTGGTAAGTGCGGTGATAGAGGAGGTACAGGCCCAGGGTGCTGGTGGGAACATATAAAAGGCTATGTAATTCAACTCAGCCTTGGAGGGCATCTGGGAAGTCTTCCAGGAAGGGAGATCTAAACTTAGATTTGAAGACTGATGAGTCAACCAGTTCAGAAATGGTGGAGAGGAGATGAGAATAGTGTACACCATTTTCAGGGCCAAAGTGAGCATAGCACATTTAGGAATGGCGTTCTTTAAGGCTGGAGCAGAGGGTGTAAAGGAGGTGGGGAGTACATTCTAATAATCCCCTGTATGTAGAGCGCTTTACAGCTGTCAAAGCATTCTCAGTTTTTGGGGGGTTTTTTGAGGAAAATTTGGTGGAAAATGTACATTTCATCTTATGTTATTTCTAATTTGGTTTATATTATCATTGTTGTTTTTTGCAAATATATGAAAAATTATGGAGAAAATAAGGCATTTTGTTCCCCCTCCCTTCTCCCCAAAGTTTATTAAAAAAAAAAAAAGGCAAAGTAAAAAGGGTCCTTTTCCAACAAACTCCCACCCACAACCTTCCTTGCTTTAAAAATTTCTCTTTGCTGACTGCCAAAATCTGAAACCCAAGAATGTCTTTTGAGTGTCTAAAACTCCTTATGATTTGTGGTGCTCTCCAGGCACAGGACCATTCCCTGGAATCCTCGATCTTTTTGGAAGTGGTGGTGGCCTTTGTGAATACAGGGCCAGCCTCCTGGCTGGACATGGTTTTGCTGTGCTTGCTCTGGCTTATTTCAGATTTGAAGACCTCCCTGAATATTTGAATAACGTGTGCCTGGAGTACTTTGAAGAAGCTGTGGACTTCATGCTGCAACATCCAGAGGTGGGTTCTGGTGCTCACCTGAATGCAGGGGAGAGGGGGTAGAGCAGACACAGGGCTGGATCCAAAAGCTCTACCAGGACACCCAGGGCTGGAAATATGCCATGAGACACAAAGGCTCCTTCAAAAGTTGTTAGGATTATTATTTTCATTTCTGCTCATCTCTCTCCAATCCCTTAAGACTCAACTGTTTAGTTCCCTGTAGTTCTTGACCAGAATTCAAAGAGCTAGACTAAAAAGTTACTAACCTTAAGTTCTGGTTCTGTGTCTACCACCAAGTGGCATTATAATCCTGAATAAGGCAGTTTCCCTCTCTAGAATTCAGTTTTTCTCATTTGTAAGAGTAAGGTAGGGACTTCCCCGGTAGTCCAGTGGTTAAGACTCGGTGCTTCCGCTGCAGGGGATGGGGGTTTGATCCCTGGTTGGGGAACTAAGATCCCGCGTGCTGTGCAGCACGGCCCCCCCCCCCAAAAAAAAGATTAATGTAAATGTATAGAGAAAAAAGTTTGACTGTAAAGAGATTTTTGAGACAATTGGTGACATTTGAATAGGGGTTGTATATTCAATGATATTAAGGAACCATTAATTTTGTGAAGTGTGTTAATGGTATTGTGGTTTTGTAGAGAAAGTTCTTATATGAGACTGGAAAAATTAACTAAAACATTTTGGTATGATTATCAATGGAATACATAGTCTTTGCTACTATCTAGACTTAAAGAAACCCAAACATTCTAATGTTAAGGAGTAAGATGTACTGCAAGGTCTAACTCTGTTAGAATTCAGGGACTGGTCTCAACAGAGCTGCTGAAACCTAGATGATCATGAACTGTGATGACTGGTTTATTTATGGGATATAAGCCCCCAGGAACAAGAAGAGACCAATATATACTATCAGTTCTGCCCTTAGATCTAGGCAAGAGGGGCTTCTGCTCTGGACCTTTTGTTTTAGATGACCACTCTCTGGCTGCATCCCTGACCACAGGGTGCGGAGTTTGAGGGGCCAAGGGAATGTGTCTACCTGGAACCCATGTGCCCCTCACACCATGCCCTTTGTTTGTTTGTTTGTTTTGCGGTACACGGGTCTCTCACCGTTGGGGCGTCTCCCGTTGCGGAGCACAGGCTCCGGACGCGCAGGCTCAGCGGCCATGGCTCACGGGCCCAGCTGCTCCGCGGCATGTGGGATCTTCCCGGACCGGGGCACGAACCCGTGTCCCCTGCATCAGCAGGCGGACTCTCAACCACTGCGCCACCAGGGAAGCCCCACACCATGTCCTTTGGATCTGGAACACCACAATTATCTTCCAACCAGCTTTGATCCTGCTTCCAAGCCCTATGCCTCTTCTCTGGGTCCATTAATGTGAATACACCTAGGCCTTAAACGTATAGGCTGGGGTGTCCAAACGCATGTGTGAGAGGGCCCTTATGGTACATGATGGAGCCAGGCAGGGATGGGAAGAAAAAGAGAGTTGGCCAAGGACCAGGGACTAGGGCCAGGGGCTAGCACTCCCCCCATCCCATGTTCTAGTACAGAACTCCAGGAAGTTCCAAGATATAAAATTTGAACCTGACCTTATAAGTTGTTATGGAGGTATATTTATCAAGGTAGCAGAAAAGAATATAATTTATTTAATTTTCAAATATTTATAACTTTTAAGTATTTAGGTATAGGGTATATGGGCCTCTGTGTGTACTCTTGACCTAGTCACCATAAATGTTAGTGGAGGGCCTGTGTACCAGGAAATTAATTGATTTGTTTGGGACTTCCATTTCAGTCCAGTGGTTAAGATTCCGTGCTCCCAATGGAGGGGACACGGGTTCATTCCCTGGTCAGGGAACTAAGATCCTGCATGCCGTGCCAGCGCAGCCAAAAAAAAAAAAAAAAAAGATTTGCTTATTAGAAGATACATTTGAACTTTGTGGATTGTTGCATAAGGAAAGCAAATGACATTTGAGTAAGCTGCCTAGACAATGTAAAATCACAGTTTAAGTTCTCCATTTATGAATTCTAGACTTGTTCTCTCTCTTTCTTTCTCTTTTTTCATCAGGTGAAAGGCCCTAGTGTTGGGCTTCTTGGCTTCTCCAAAGGAGGTGACCTGTGTCTCTCAATGGCCTCTTTCTTGAAGGGCATCACAGCTACTGCAGTTATTAATGCCTGTGTGGCCAACACAATAGCTCCTCTGCATTACAAGGATATGATTATTCCTAATCTCAGCAGTGACCCAGGGAAATATAAAATCACTGAGTCAGGCCTTTTGAATTTGGCAGATATTTGGAACGACCCACTGGAGAAACCCAACCACCGAAGTCTTATTCCATTGGAAAAGGCCCAGGGACCCTTCCTGTTTATCGTTGGCATGGATGATCATAACTGGAAGAGTGAATTCTATGCTCAGATAGCCTCTGAACGGTTACAAGCCCATGGGAAAGACAGACCCCAGATAATCTACTACCCAGGAACTGGCCATTGTATTGATCCGCCTTATTTTCCTCTTTGTAGAGCCTCTGTGCATGCAGTTTTGGACCAACCAGTATTCTATGGAGGTGAGCCAAAGGCTCACTCAAGGGCACAGGTAGATGCCTGGCAGCAAATCCAAACTTTCTTCCATAAACACCTCAATGGTAAAAAATCTGTCAAGCCCAGCAAATTGTAACATTGTAATCATAGACCATATGCTGTTAATAAAAATCCTAGTCATACAACATGTATTAGGTTTTCCAGAGAACCTAGGAACCTTTTTGTAACAAAGCAACCATCTCAGCTTCCTTGTCAGGTCCTACTGGATTCTGAGCCTTAGCAACACTACTCTCTTCACTGCTGGGTCCATCCCTTTCTCCCCTGAACTTTTCCCAGTGTATAGGCTTAACTCTGATGTTATCTGTAGGACCAATCTTAACCTTAAGCAAGAAAAATGTAAGAAGTGCCTGCCCAAGTCTCAACTGCTGGCCCAGATTTGGCCTTGTGTTCTGGACTGAGCTTTTGTACTGCTAAGAGTCCCATATACTCTTTGGGTCCTAACTGACCATGTCTGAACCTTGGGAACCTGCGCACTTGAGCCCCTTAAGGAATGGACTCTACTTCATTCTTGTTTCTGAACCCCACTCTGAAGATTGGGGGCATTGACATACTTAGTACCCTAAGCTTTGCTTTTATTTTATGAATGAGGCCCTAGACTTCAATTTCTTCCTTACTGATAAAGTATCCTTTACAAATTTTTAATTTAAAATTCAAAGGATACTTTACAAAGTAAAATTGAATCCTTTACAAAAAAAATTGCTGTAAGCAAAACAGTTTATTGATATATACTGTTGATGTACTTCCTCTGTATTTACCATCTGAATTCCCAGTCTCGGTACTTGGCTACCTAGAGGAATGCCTTGATGCCAATAGATTTTCAGGACTTAATCTTTGGATGTCAGGTTATACCTGACAAATTAGACTTCCTCCTGGTACCATCGGTTCCTATTACCTTCCTACTGGGAAGGACTGGGATCAGTCTATCTCAATCCATTGCCTTATACTGGGCACTATCTAGGTCATGAGACCAGAGCAGAGGGTCTTCCCTGAGTGCAAGAATATTTTTCTGAGACACATCACTTGGCTTGCTGGGCACATACTGTCTTTCACCAATTTGAGTCTATTCAAGCAAATGCCCATTAGATCTTAATCTAATGAGAAGGGTTCCTTACTTAATTTTGACCAATTGTTAAAAATACATGTTGAGTGTATTTATTCACTATGAGTATAATTTTCTGTGATTTGAATCCTTAGAGCCTGTGCTTTAACTCACTCTGAGGTGGTCCTGCTACTCTAGAGATGCCTTTGGGATGGGGTATCATAGGAAGAAGTTATAAGGAAAATGGCTGGGAGGGTGAGAGAAGTGAGGGGCGGAAAGGTAACACCAGAAGCTTAAACATGAGAGTGATGACTAAACATATCTGTGTACTAAAGCACTAGGTGTAGGGATGGCCCTACATCCTGATTTCTTCCTTACTAATAAAGTAGCCTTGGAATGCCCTATACTGACTAAGATATTTGGTCACTTTCCCCTCAGAGTTGATTATATATGGCCCCCTGTCTCTAAGATTTCAAAAAGAATTTCAGGTTGTTACAAAGCTACCTAAAATATGGTAAATGTGAATTAAAAGGGAGAAAGAGAAAAGGTATCCATAAAATGGAGCCAGAAATGAGGCCAATACAATAGTGCTTATTATGAGGCCTATATACTTGCCTTGATTGGGCCACTCGTTCAGTCATTTGTTTTCTAGTGGTTTATGCAGAGAAGGAAACCTAATCAGTTACACAAAATTTACAGCCTTCATAAAATAAAATCAAAGCTTAGAAATCAGTTTCTCCCAAAGGCTGTCTTACTAAGAAACATTAAATTATGTAAAGGGTAGTACCCTCAAGGTTGCCTCTACAGTAGATATAAACCCCAGGCTCCATCGCTTACTGTGTAACCTTGGGTAAGTTATTAACTGCTCTAAGCCTCAATTTCCTCATCTATAAAGTGGGGATAATTATAGTGATAATAATAGAAACTACATTGGGCTGTTGTGATTAAATTAGGTCATCCAAGTAAAGCACGTAACATATTTAAACTCTCAAATATTAGCTCTTATTTCAGATGAGGAAATTGAGACCCAAGAGGGTTAAGAAATATATCTGGTTGATGAGAGAACTGGGCCAGTCCAACTCCAAAGTCCATGGCCTTCATTAACCATTTGGCTCTACAGCCTTCCAACCTGAGGAGATAAGCTCAAATAGTGCAGAGCTGACTGGTGAGGATTACTTAGCTGGAAAGTCAAGGGTAAGTTAGGGTCCCATAATGGAGGCTCCATAAGCCAAATTGGAGAGTTCAGATCTATGTATTTATTTTGGAAACCACCATTTTATTGAGCTCTCCTCACCCGCAGAGACCTATTCCAGCAGTCTTTTTGCCACAGGCATCACAGACACAGGAGTGTGACCAGTGCTCCCCCCACTACCCACTATTTGACCCACCCATGAGAGGGAGATGGAGAGTTCAGACTTAAAATAAGAAATAAGGAACCATTTTTTAACATACTGATTTTTGTTTTTCAATGACAGTAATTTTTCCTTGATGCTTAGTGGCTCAAAGAAGTTGAAGGCTAAAAGAAACTTAGTTGGAGACACTTAAGAACAACAACAGCAACAAAAAACAAATCAGGGGCTTCCCTGGTGGCGCAGTGGTTGAGAATCTGCCTGCCAATGCAGGGGACACAGGTTCGAGCCCTGGTCTGGGAAGATCCCACATGCCGCGGAGCAACTAGGTCCGTGCGCCACAACTACTGAGCCTGCGTGTCTGGAGCTTGTGCTCCACAACAAGAGAGGCTGCGACAGTGAGAGGCCCGCGCACCGCGATGAAGAGTGGCCCCCGCTCGCCGCGACTAAAGAAAGCCCACGCACAGAAACGAAGACTCAACACAGCCAAAAATAAAAACAATAAAAAAAAATTGGATCATATATTCAAAAAACAAATCAGAAAATATAACCAAATTCAGCCCATTGTCCTGCTTTTGGTTGTACACCTAATGCCCTTGAATGTACTTCCATCAGGATGAGAAAGGCCAATGAACCATTTTGAAAGCAAATATTGATACATGTTTTTGTCAACCACCGATCCTTTAAGAAATATTTGTATAAACCTGTTACCAATTTCAGCAAACTGAAAACCACAAACACTTCTTAATTCTTTCAGAGTATCATGGTTAAGCTATTGTGTACATTCATTTTAAATGGTCTTTGCACACTGGGAAGATAAAAGCTTGTGGAAAGCATTCTGTTTTTTCAGGTGGTGCATGCAGAGATGCACAACATCCAATATTTATGGCCACTATAATGATGGATGTGGGCGGCAGAAGTCAAAATTATTTGAGTTAGGGACTTCCCTGGTGGCACAGTGGTTAAGAATCTGCCTGCCAGTGCAGGGGACACGGGTTCAAGCCCTGGTCCGGGAAGATCCCACATGCCGCAGAGCAACTAAGCCCGTGAGCCACAACTACTGAGCCCACATGCTGCAACTACTGAAGCCTGCGTGCCTAGAGCCTGTGCTCCGCAAGAAGAGAAGCCACTGAGATGAGAAGCCCACACACCGCAACGACGAGTAGCCCCGGCTCGCCGCAACTAGAGAAAGTGCTCGTGAAGCAATGAAGACCCAACGCAGCCATAAATAAATAAATTTATTTTTTTAAAAATTACTTGAGTTGTTTTCTAAAACTGGGAGTCAGCCATGTATTCTCCAAAGACAGAGAGACTTTAAACAAGTACTTTTCAAAAAGACAGGGTTGTTGGTCCAGTAACCATGTGCTTTCAGTGGCAAATATTTTCCATCCATAAATCAGAATACATGATAATTACAATCTTATTTATGGGGTAAGAGGGATAAGATATATACCTGAAAATGAGATTGTTCCAAAGGGAATTCAGGATTACATATCTACACATCTTACTTGGCACAGCAGTTTAATAGAATGGTTTTACCTGGGTTAATTAACCTCATTTTACATGTACATTTTAAGATAGAATTCTATACTGGAAAACAAATTTTAAATTACATATATAAGTACATTCTTCATTGTAAAAGATTCAAGTAATACAGATAAAATTTAAAAACCTCTTAACTCATTACTCAATCGCAGTCTTCTCCCAGAGGTATTTACTGTTACCAACTTGAAGTGTAGCCTTCCAGAACCATTTTGTATACATGGACGGTTTTATTTTGTGAGTTCTACGCCTTTTTCTTTAAAAAAACAAACAACCGTAAATGTCATATAATGTAAGTTTTTTTCCCTGCATGTAAAAATATACATTTTTAATAATTATGCCAGGCCACAGGACAATATAGATCATTTCCACAGCGTATACATCTGTGCTCTGCCTCATCTGAAACGTTTAAACTTTAATCTCGACAGTCTTTTTTTCTTTTTTAACAGTCTTTATTAATCCAGGCAAAAATAACCTCAAGCAAGAAAAGGAATTTGGCGGGAGCCTAGTACATGTAGCCTCCAACTAAGTTTAGGGAGCAGTGTCCCCTGATGGCCAGAGAGGGATTTTAGAGAAGGCAACCGGAGGCATTTTCTGTCAGAAATCATTAATTTCTCATTCTTGACACGTCGAAGGACAGGCTAGGGATAAGCTCCTGCCTCTTCCGGATGGTCCCACTTCGGGATCTCCAAAAGCACAACCGACCCCGGGCCCTCCTAAGTCGCCCCTTTTTGCAGCTCTTTACTGAGTGACGCCCCAGGAACCAGCCCAGGTCCTCTTGAGCCCCGGCCTGCTTTCTCCCCTCCGGGCCACGCCCCTCCGGGCCACGCCCCTCCTGTTGCACTCCGGCCGGCCCCGCCCCTGCTCCTCCCGGCCCCGCTCCTCCTACTGAGCCCAGTTCCCCTTGCGCCCAAGCCACGTGTGTGTGCCTACGCTCAAAGCCGCGAAGATCCCTGCACCCAGTGACTGGCGGCCCAGGCCGTGCTCCGAACTCCCGGGACTCCCGTCCAGCTTCGGAAGTCTGTGTCCACATCATTCCTTTCCTCCCAAAAGGCCGTAACCCTGGCCGTCAAGCCCAAGACTGGACTAACCAATAAGCTCCTGGGTATTAAAGTGGAAGGCTTAGGCCCCAGGGAGCGGGGCCCCTTTGGGGTTGAGTGATAGAGG